CGAATTGTTCTCATATTTGGAGTATTTCTTATGTCATTTAGTTCTCCATTGTATGAGTAATACTGGTTAGTTAACTCTTGTGTTGCGTGTCTGTTGAGAAGTCACTTAAGTATCATCCTTTTGTTGAGTGTCATTTGAATAAACTGCATGATTTTTAAAATTTTTATTCTATTCTCATCATTACTGTTTAGCTTGTATTTTATTCATGTGTTGTAATTTATATTTTAAGAATTTAGACGTTATAGCATTAATGTATACTAGTGTGATTTTTAGTCAATGAAAGAATTATGTGATGATATCCGAACAAATAAAATGACCACTCAGTTTGATTACAAATTTTTGTGTTTTAAGTTCAGAGGGTATTTTGACTACGTCATCATTCAACTACTAGACAAGTCTCAAGATTTAGTCACTTCATCTCCTAATAGGCTGCAGATGTCACCCGAATTACTCACCAAATTTGTATACAGCCAGTGAAGCTAAGAAAGCTAAATGTTTTAGACATTCTGACATTACAATCTATCCACCTTTTGACTTTTTTTCACTGGTCATCTATAAGTTATAATGTATACAAATGAGAGCGTTATATAGTAGCATTGGATAGCATAAGTGCGTAAGTTGAAGAATAAACTACCTCTCCAGTTGTCATCGATTATGGGTATACATAGTCCCATCCACAAAGCGAAGGTCTACCAGTATCTTTATTGAGAATCTAAAGACCTATTGGCATTGTTAATGTCAGGAATGTATTTACTAGAACGACATCCACTAGCGTAACTCTTAACAATTCTTTATATGATCCCCACAAAACCAATAATTGAAAATTAATCTGATAACTGACCCTATTCAGGCAGTTAACCTGGGGTTCTGGTGGGAAGCCGTGACCAGTAGGGTACAGCAGGTTGAAGATGAGGCAGTAACTCATCGAAGAAGACATTGCGAAATGGTCGTGAATTGACAGAAGTTAGAATTCAAAGACCATTGGATCGGGTCCCAGTGGCTCAATGGTCTACGAGCTCGCCTTGTAACCAGAAGGTGCTGGGTTCGAATCCCGGTGGGTGGGTACTGATGAAGGGTCCCAAACTAGGACGAAATAGCCGTCCAGTACTCCCAGCTTTTTTAGTGGTTCTCTAACTGATGTCAGCTCATGATGAAATCCTCCATGCAATCAAACAAAATCCCTACAAAACTAATACTTGAAAATTCTTTATATCAAATTCCTTTTTAAGCTGAAAATTGCCTCAACTTTTACCACTATGCAAACGATTCCAAATCTATTATGATCATGTAGTGGTAGAGATTATTTCTCGCTACAGGATGTTTATATCATCTCAGTATTACTCGTGTCAATATTTCTGCGGTGCACTGCACAGTGTACTCATGGCGGAGTGTTTTTCTACTTGTGTTTATCATGAACTCAAATGCTACATACATATGGAATTTGCACTTTGATTAATTAGTTAGTCAAAGTATAGCTAGATAAGATTTATTATCACTAAACTGGTTAATCAATTTTAGAACAAAAAATATCGATTACTGACGCACTGGATTCTCACATTATACTGTTTCTCTTTCTGTAGAAGGTGGTGGGTGATTTTGAAATACACATAATATTGCTATTTTTATCTCTGCTACGACATCCTCCAAAGTACATAATAGAGTAGATACGATGGTAATAATAATAACATGGATTTTGTGTAAATTCTTTTTACTTTTTCTTTTTGTTTACTAAGATTGTTTGAAGTATATTTGTTTTTGCCTTTTTGTGCAACAACATTTTCAGTGCATAGAAATCTATTTGGTATATTTACTTTGTATGTATTGATCAGTGAAAAGGATATCTCCTCTTTATATGTTATGTTATAAAAACATGCTGAGCTTGAAGTATACGAGTTCTATACTCTTCATCATGTTCATATGTCCAAAAATAAATAAGCACATCCCGCTCAAGCGTAAATTGTATGTCGATATTGTTATGTAGGTGGTTCGCATAGACTAAAATGAATATATTTTTCATGATTATTGTTTTTAGTACATCAGTGCCATTAGATCACTCATTAAGATTTAATGTCGCTCACTAATAATTGATTTCGTAATACTCTGCACTTATTGAATACTGTAAGTGTTTCTTTTGAATGGATCTAGCCGATGGCTATAAGTGGATACCTCTCAGTTGATTATAATAACAACAAGGTGCTTTGGCGACTTGAGTATACGTGTAGTAGTAATGAACATTGTTAACCGTAGCACAAATCTATCTTACGGGCTAAAACGGAAAGATACAAGTTCATTGAAACCGTAAACAAAAAATCAAACGTCTGGTCTCAGTAGAACGGGTACTAAAATTTTTTTGCGCATCTGTTTGGTTTCAAGAATATGTATCACCTTATAAAGAATAAGAAGACCAAATCACAGAAATTAGCCTGCTCAGCAAGGGCTTAATTTGACTTCATCTCAACAAGAAATCTGGAATGCCTTTAAATTATCAAATCTACGGTATAGAAGCCCATTTTGTTTTCGAATTCCACCTACATATGCTTATGTTTAGCTCTATAATATTACAACACAATGAAAAATCAGCCAGCTTCATTGTCATTGGTTTATGAAGTATTATTCAGCTTTGTCATATTGATTACTTCGTTGGCTCTTGGAACATAACTGACAGTTGTGTCTGTTAGCCAGTTGATTTGTAATTAAAAATTAATGTATGACGGAAACGTGCTCATTTCCCATTGTAAAAATGCTTTAATCCTTTGTCACACACCATCTTCACACTAATCTTTCATTTTTGGGTTATGTGATATGCAAATTTTTCAGTCCATATTTATGCTGCTGTTAACCTCACGATAGTGTTATAGTGTGGTAGTTAAGGTTGATGTGTAAATTCCTGACCTCAGTCCGCCTGCATATTTTGCTGACGCATCCAAAACTGTGTCGGACACTCATTTCATTCATTTCTTATGTATGCTATATGTCATAGCGAGTCTTTTATGTTGCGATATCTGACTTTTCAGTGTAGTTATGTTCTCTAAGCTCGATAGTTTAGTTACGGTGACAACAGTTTTTAGTTGTAACTAAGCTGTCTAGCTCAGAGAACACAACTATTCCAAAATCATCCACCTGGGCTACGAATCTTCTCAATCATATCTTTATCAAATCTTATTCATAGTCTGAATATCCTGTTCAGCATTATTCTTAATCCTTGATTTATGAACTGTCTAAGTGGATTACTTTGTAATTTATTTGTCAAATTGTGGAGTGCTAACGTTGACCTCTTTCCAACCTGTTAGCTTCTACTTTCAGTAAGTAATTCATTATAATCACTGTTACATGTTCCTTTTGCGCATTTTATTAATTTTTTTTCCTCACCTTCTTCACACTTGTCAAGTGGACACAACCACTTGGCTTCTTACATAATGAACAATTTTCACCTTATGAAATTTCAAACCCTTACTTCTGTTGTGTCGTTAATTATCACGTAATTTCTTTTTATCCTTACAACCACTTCCTAGTAAGTTTTTTAGTTTATGACTCAACCACCTATTAATCAGTAATAGGATTACTTTTCAATTCTTAGTAAATATACATACAGTTAAACAACCGTCGGAGGTGACTCTTTCAATTGTAATCTGTGTCCATATATATCAACTGGTTTTATTGCGAAAAACTTATTGATTGATGAAAAGCACCGAGAAAAGCTTTATTGAACAAATGTTTTTGGAGTTAAGCTTAGTTTTATTGCACGTGGTGTCTATAATCCTGTACTCAGCGTGCATCACAAATAATGCACTTTATGTCTAATCGGTTCATGTGTAAAAAATATAAGTGAATTTGTTCGATAATAGTAGTAGCAGTAGTTCGAAGATCATGTCATAGTATTTACAAGCATCAAAGGTATGATTATTCGGTCTTATTGTTACTCTTTATTCTAATTGTAAACTTTATACATCTAGAAGCAGCAGTGATGTAATTAATATACCACATGGTTTCATTTGTCAGTAGAATTAACATACACTAAAGCTAAAGTGATCAATTTAATAGATTTTTTTAAAGAGTAAGCCAAGTAAATTGCATTATTTATCTATCATATCTTATTCGTTACAACAAGCTTAAAAATAAAGGTCGTTGTACATTCTGTAATTACAAACAGACGTAAGAAGTTGTTTTAATCGTAGTGTTGCTTATTAGCACTTCACCGAAAGATTCATACAGTAAATGGCTCAATAAGTGTGAACAACTAGTCGTATTAAAATCACTCTGATCATTCAGATATGAACACTGGCTGTTCCATATATAAAATAATTCTTTCCCTAGGTGAGATTTATGTATATGTATTTCTGGCGTACAAAACTGATTTCTAATTCGATTTTGTTTTTGTGTATTATTTTATTGTTTGTTTTGATTTGGTTTGCGCATAATCAATATATAGAATGTCCAACGAACAGGTTATGTGCATTGTAGGCAGTTAGTAATAAATATAAATATCTAGAAATATTTTTTGGACAGTCGAAGTATGGTGGTCAGTTAGCATTTAATGGTATTTGGTGATTTTCTGAACAATGCTAGTAAGCTTTTGTAGACTGTCAATTTTTACGTCAACTTTTAGTTAATTGTAGAATTCAGCCCATCTATAGATTTTTAAAGTCTTTCTTTACCAATCAGTATACATAGTACAGTCACGTTGTTATGGTTAGGTTTTTTATAATGCTAGTAGATTTTGTCGATATTCCCTGCCTTTTTATGCAGAAATGTTGATTTAAAGTGTATGCGTTAACAATCTGGCGCTATATAAAGATATCACATTCACTAATAATCCTTGTTTCGTTCTTGGATGGAACATCAGATTACTATCCCTGAGAAATTAACGCATTAATTTTTCATTTACTAGTAATTTTAAATATATCTTGAGCGTGTCGTATGTCTTGTTTAGTTGCTGTAACTTTTTAAATAATTCATTGTACGTACCATTTCCTTGACATTTAAAAAATTTTCCCTTTCAGAGTAAGTATTTATTCACAAGAAAATATAGACTTGAAACGCCGTGTTGATGGGTTGGAAAGTACAAATCGTTCTCTGTTGGGTCAACTCCGTCTTTTACAGCAACTTGTCAGCAAGTCGAAATTGAATAATGCTTCAGGATCGTCGAATTCTACTGACTTACACAAAACAAGTCATCAAAATCGTCTGACTACCAACTCTAGTGGGAACAGTGATTCTGTTCATGGTATTAATCACAGTAACGGGTCGCCATCTACTTGCTTAATGGTGTTCGCCTTGTGTTTTGCTGCTCTTCTTATTGGACAGCCTTCGGGAAACGAAAATCAAAGCTCGTTGAATTCAGGCCTAAGTTACACACTGAGTTCCCAGAATTCCTTCAATTCATGGATGTCTCAAGTCCCTCAACGACTAGTGTCCAGTTCATTATCTCAGGTAATTTAGTGCATATAAATGATTTTAGGATTTTAAATAAACTTAGAGTATGTGCTTATTTACATAATGTATTATCCAATTTTGTTAGATATCTGGTTATAAAAACAATTTGTTTATAATAAATAACGAAGTTTGCTATCCAACTAGGGAATTTTTTAAGGATTTACTATCTCGTCGTATTGTATAGACTATGCAGCACTTGACTGATATTTTTAACACAGTATTTATGATCTTAGCAATTTTCTGACAAATTAGGTTTTCAATTTTATCAGTAACAGTATTATTGTGTACGAACTGAGAAGATAACAAATCCTGTAAATTTGTATCCCTTTACCTCTCGTCAAACATTTTATGAACTGAACTTAGAATTCAGTTTGCAATCTGCAATTTCCTGTGGATAAGCATGGTTTTCTTAATTTTCCTTCTAGCTTGGTTACGATTTATCAAAACAGTCCCGGTCAGCCATATACACACATGATCCACACAATAAAAATACTTTGATGGATGCTTACACTACTCAGTCAATTAGTGATCATCTGCCTTCTGGATATTCGTCGCATTCAAACAGTCATCATCATTCTCATCCCCCTCCTTTCACTCAAAAGCCACAAGGTGAGTTGTTAGAATTTCTTATCATCATCATTATCTCTTGATTATCCCAACTGACTGGTCATTTCACTGTGTGTTTGTATGTTACTTGATGTGAACTACTATATCTGTAATTTCCTTGTAATTTGTATTTCTAACAATTTTTTGACATTTGGGAGTCTTGGATCCATTTGTCGTTCAAAACCAAATCATCACTGATTCGTCTTAGTTTGATAATAGTGATTAGGGTGATAGACCTTTCCTCTAGCTTTTGTTGCTGAGTTGGTTAACTCCACTAGAACTGAAATTGGCTGCTCATATAACTGTTTAACAGTTCAGTGGTTAGACACCCTAGTAGCTGTTAAATTGGAAAGTGAGTTATTAAATTTCAGTCATAATGTGCAAATTATCGCTATTACGTGTAGCAAGTGAAGTTATCACGGCTTAATTCATTTACTCCCTCTCTCCCTACTAATTGAGTTTATTCATTTAACTACTTATTTGGTTATTGAATGTCTTTGTTAACTCAGCTTAAGTGGAATACGATACCGCTTCGAAAAGTTCTAACGCCTAAGAGGTTCACCATTTACCCTTTCATTATTTATGATCTGTAAGCTTTATTGTCTCACTAAAATATTTTATATGTACATAGTTCAACGCTCAAGACTTTTGGGTGAAGCTAGTGAATTGGAAGATTGTGCACCAGTTCAGTCATTCTGGTCTTATTTATTCGGTAATCCAACTTCAACCAGAAATCAAGTTTGTGGTCGGAATACTGATTCATTCAAGAATGAACTTCATCTTATTGACGCCATGGAACAAAGTCTATTAATGACATCATCAAATAATGAAACAGGTCGTTCCGACTATTCAAGATATAATAAAACCAAAAACTCACTTCAGTTTATTTGGCCTCCTGTGATAGAATCATTATAACTTCAAACTAAATAGACAGATACTGTCATTATTGTGTCTCCTACATGAAATGGTTCATATCAGCTTGGTGATAAAATATGTGAACTATTTCGCTATGTTTGTGATGCTCTCTAATGTCTTATTGTTACTGTTTATTGGGTCCATATCTGTGTTTGTCTATGAAATAAAATTTAATGCATGCTATAAAATGGTTAACACTTGATATTTATTTCAGTCATATTTTTTCAACTTTCTGGGAAATTGGTCAGGTGTTTTGTCTGTGACTTGTAACCTTCGTCACTTCTTTATTTCTTTTGTCAACCACTTTGTAAATGTAACCTCATGGAATTATTTCCACTATCTTCGTGTTATGTCTTTCTTATATCATATTTTGTGATTGACTTCTGGTAAATAATCCTTATTTGTTATTGATATGTTATTTTTTATTTCTCACACTTTAACCCCCTTAGTTATAACATTGTGTTTGTCATCTGTTAATTGTAGGCGTTGAGTTATTTATTGGCAAAGATAAATTGTCATACTGTGACATTACTGATGATAAGCATGTAACGGAAGGCCTTATTGTTGTGCCAGATTTTGTATATGTATATTTTTGCATTTATCTTATAATATGATGAGTCTTTTGTAAGGATGTTTGATGATTTATATTACACTGTGAAAATTAGTTGTGGAAGACATTTGTGTGTAATTAAAAATGGTATAACTCCGTGTGTGTGTTTGATTTTGGCTGTGTTTTGGTTTTGATCTACGCTTTTTTGTAAGTGTTTTAATTTAAAATAAAAACGCTTATCTGCTATATCGCAGTGTTTTCAATTCACTATAAACTTGAGTTTATTATGATATGGTTTTAATTCTTCATCTGAAGTGTATGGGTGGTTATGAATCAAGCTACAAGTAGTTTAACTTCAGTTGTTCATCAGCAGCCATTTGTGATAATACTTTCTTAAGTCACCATTTTATTGTTGAATTTCGTGTAATTGTGTCTCTGATTTATTAAGCGCACACTATCAAAACTTCAGTTTCTAGAAGAAAATTACGAAAGTGGATATGTAATTACATCGTCATTTCATGATAAGAAATTTCATTCATCCTAGTGATTAATTTGTTAGTTAACTTTTTGGATGACTTTTTTTTGAGACTAGTATGAGACCCTGCGTAGCACAACGCTTTCTATTTCGTTTATAGTGACAAAAATCTCGTCTGTCTAGGAAACACAATAAAAGAATATCACAATCAATTGTGTACAGCGTTTCTCAATGCAGCTTTTACTGGTTAACTTGGTTCTTTTGTGAAAAACAAACCGACTTAGTACTTATACTTCGAAACTGCCATTTGCTTATGCGTTGAGTTATCGAAGAATTATATAATTATAATTACTGTTTGCTGTCACATTTCTCTTCGTTAAATGAGAAATTTATAATCCACTTTGTTCAACTTGAATAATGCTCACTATGTTGCGTATCAACTTCCTGTTGACAAATTTGATCTCATATTTCTCGAGTATTTTTCTGTAAATTTCGTTGTATGGGTACCAGTTTTAGGTGGGATATCAAGAAACATAAGGGCGTCATCAGCTTAACTGTGAGTCACACTGATTGTTCTCAATTTCAGATCAGTATTCTTTCAGGAACACAGCACATTATTTACAGGTCTGTTTTTAGTAGAAGAGGGATATTTCAATTTTAAACAAACTTTAGTGATCCTAACCAAAGAATTTGGGATGGAATGCCACAGTCTTGAATATGGCCTTTGTGATGAGCTGTCCACTCAGAGAACTTAATCGCTCGTTGTTATTTTTGAAGCAGGAAAAGATGACCTCTGCAGTATCTTTCTTTTTTGTCAGTGAATACACTAATATATGTTCAGAAGTTCATACCTTTCAAATTATTAAATGCTATTGGTTGATTCGGAAAATGTATAGTGACTGATACTATCTACCTTAACAGATACAATTAGGGAAAATATGATAACATACTTTCGACTAGAGTGGTCAGCACCAATAACTGCGACAACACATATTGGAATCATTTACAACAGGTATATGGTTTCTTATCACTGCAAGTGTGATTTATATATCTAAATTACGAATTCATAGGACATTGAATTCCGCCTCTAGCGGCAGTATAGTCAACGAGGAAGCTTCGTAATATGAAGGTCTTGATGTGGTTGCTGGTAGGGTCGTGAGTGCGAACTGCTGAGATAGTCCGAAACAGTTTTCCAATGGTCCTCTAGCTGATGTGGATTGGTAACGGGTGGCACACTGAAATATTTCCGGTGACACGTTTATAGTTCATGAACAATTAATTCGCATAGAACAAAAAAACGTAAGTAATCTTGTGTCATTTGAATGTATGGATAGACGACTGGAAAGAACACTATGAGGAGCAGTTTAGTTGGCCTACAGCCACACTTAACCTGCCGAACATCCAACACCTCCCTGAATGGGATATAGTCACAGGTCCTCCGTCCTTAACTGAAGTTACTAAAGCTGTCACTAATCTGAAGCAAGGCAAAGCAGCGGGACCTGATGGAATGACTCCAGAGGTATTTAAGTACAGTGAAGACAGTTTACTGTCTGCATTAACTGAGGATCTAGGCAGCGTCTGGGAATCAGAAGAAGTCCCATCGGGTTGGTGTAAGTCACTGATCATCCCGATATACAGGAAGGGAGACAAGTCTTCCTGTGATAATCACAGTGGGATTAGCTTGACTGATATAGTAACTGAAGTCTTAGGCTCAATAATATTGCGTAGACTAAGTGGTTCTCGGGAGGCACAAACACGAGAAAACCAGGGAGGTTTTAGGCCAGGAAGAGGGTGTATTGATCATATCTTCACCCTTCGACAGATTCTAGAACATAGGCATTCCTACCGGCGTCCAACAATCATTATATTTCTTGACCTAAAGGCGGCATTCGATTCTGTTGACCGAGAGGTACTCTGGCGATGCTTGACTGTAAAGGGAATACCAAGAAAATACATTGCACTGATTAAGGCACTCTACTCGTACTCATGCAGCCATGCTACCAGGGAATAACCTCGTTGACTTAGGATATGCACATGATATAGTCTTTCTAGGCGAGGACTCTGACAAAATGCAGAGTCTTATGAACACCTTGAGCAGCAATCTTCGTATGTTCGGCATGCAATTCGCCCCTGTAAAATATAATATGATGTTGCAGGATTGGACTACGCCAACCCCTAGATTAGAAATAGGAAGTGAAGTGGTAGAGTACGTTGACCGCTTCACTTACTTGGGAAGTATCATCGGCCCCAACGGGTTGATCTCTGACGAAATCTCAGTACGAATACAGAGGGCTAGTTTCGCATATGCCAGTGTACGCCGTCTCTGGCGTAGACGTGATATCCGACTATCGACCAAAGGGCGTGTGTACTGCTCATCAGTCCGCTCCGTCCTCCTTTATGGCTGTGAGACCTGGCCATTGAGAGCGGAAGACATGAAAAGATTATCTGTGTTCGATCATAGGTGTCTGCGTTCTATCTGCCGTGTGAAGTGGTATAATAAGGTGAGCAATATTGAGGTTAGGCGTTGAGTGCTAGGTAAGGCGGGGAAATCAGTCGACGAGACTGTGAAATTACATCAACTGAGATGGTCAGGACATGTGTTACGTATGCCTACTCATCGCCTTCCTCGACGGGCAATGTTAGCTGATATATGGTCAGGCTGGGAAAGAGCTAGCGGTGGTCAAACGAAAACATGGCACCAGTCGATGAAATCTACAACAGTTAGTCTGAGCCACGTAGGAAGGTTTAGACTTCCTGGTTGGAGTCCTCGGGACGGTAAAACCCAATGGTTGGAAACAATTGGTGACATGGCTCAAAATCGTTCTCAGTGGCGCAGATGCATCCACTCCTTGTGACTAATGATTTCCAATGAAACTGTTTTGTTCCTCGTTATTACTATTCCTTTGTCTCACACCTCTGTTTACTGTCTCTAATATACGTTTCTCCTACTTTCTTCTCTTGCTTTGTGTGCTACAAAGAGGGAGTGTGGCGACTTGAACTGCCGCACATATGTGCAAAGTTCTATGTCGGAAACCGACCGATTTGAATGTGTAGTGACTGAAAAAATGAATGATATAATAATCAAGTTTAGGTGAAAGACAGAATGTCATATGAATCTGTAATTTACATTCTACGACACTGAAATAAGTCTAGGAGTAGAGTAAACAGATCACAGTGAATTAACTTAATACTAAGCAAATAAACGTCTAGCCCACCTCCAGATACTTGAGGTATTTGGAGTTTTGTTTAAAAGGACACCGTGCAATTAGGCTTGGACGCCATTGCGTGTTCCTCCTTTGTTTTAGTAACACTCGCATCTACAGCACCCATATTTGAGCTACATTAGCCAGATAAGTTCTGAAAATTCTATAAATAATCTTGTTGAAATTATTGCTCATAAGAGCATATTAAGAAATAGCTGAGTCTTTTTGATTTGTGTTTTGCTATCAGTACTCGCAGTTCATGTAATGTACTGATCAACCGAGTCATTAAGCGTATTGATTTTGGCGAGGCTGCGCCAGTGTAACACATCAACACCACAACTAGCATTTAACCATTGATGATCCTGATTATAACTTTTTGCCCTATCTTTTGCTTGGTTTATCAGCTTTTATAGTAGTTGAATCACTTTTCATTTTCGCACAGTAGATTTCCACTTTGTATTTGTGCTTACACTTGTTACTTTTATAATCCGGTATTTCAGTATATTTGCTCGCTGTAACTTCTCTCTCCATCTCGTCTAGTTTACTAGCCTGTGTTAGGTCTGGGAAAAGGGTAAGGCTGGGTGTGGGGCTAGTGACCCTACCGTAGAAAATCAAACGAACCACTACAAAACTTCAAAGCACAGAAAAAACCACTGCCGTTTGAGAAATGAAATCACGTGGGCTAATGAAGTTAACCAAGGTATCTTTCTCTGAAAATAAAAGCAGGCAGGAAGACTTGGGATATTCGCACAATGACCGAATCTGGAAGGCTACTCAGACTGCCATAGAGTTGAAAAGATATGATGTAGGGATACTAAATATCCGTTAGAGAAGATGGGATGCAAGTAGATTCTCCACATTGTTAACCGGAGAGTCGCTAATCTGCTCCTGTCACTGACCTCAAGCTACTGCTATATTAGATAACGATGTCTCTGTCTGACAACAGATCAACACACATGGAACTACTGAAAAATATTGAGGGAAACCATGGAGGATAAACACGGAAAAAGCTGGGCTGATCACCACAGACGACAGTTGGACAGACCACCAACTTTAACTCGTCCAGAAATATCCTTAACAGACAGAACTGCTGATGAAGGACTGGGAATACGTAAGGAGACCGCTGAATGATATCACATGCTAAGCTCTCAGGTGAAAGCTGAGTAAAAAAGAAGGGTTGGATGTCCGAAGGTGAGAGGGAGCAAACCATGTGAGCAGGAAATGTAAGCAGTTGTGAAGACATTTGGAGTTATGGCGGAGTAACAGCTGCTGTGAAGATGTGCTAATGTTACACTAGGAACTCAAGGGAATGATAAAAGCGTAGCTGTAGGTAGTCCTTCAAAATTATTGGACACAGCATTAATCACTGAACATTGGCTGCTGACCGTCACTTGTTCAGCTGAAGGCTTACGGTCAAGCATCTACACTTTTCGACACGCTGTCGTATTACGTTCGTTCGTGCACGATCCGTAGCTAGTCAAGCAGTCAACTTCGCACCACAACTTGATCCCGAAATATACTTTGTAATTCAGACGATCAATTTGGTGTTTTGCTTTGTCTTTGGTCTACGCGGAAAGAATACTACAGAAGTTGTGGGTATTATTATTATTATGCATTGTTCTATCCGTGAACGTCACCATCCTCAGTCTCTAAAATAGCTTGTCTTTGAATTCTTGAAAACAACTTTGCTGTAAGGGCGGTATTGGTGCTTCAATTCTGTATACACTAGGCGTTTGCTTGGTCCTCGTTCAGTTCACTTTGAGGCGTACATTTTTACAAGAAACTAAGTCTAGCTCAGCCATTGTTAGCCTTCTAACTCATATCATAGAAGACGTTCCTGTTGTTTTTGATGATCCCT